TAATTTGTAGGCTAAAATACCAGCTCCTGGTCCGCATAGAGGCAACAGTGGGAAAAAAGAGACATTTTGTTCTTATCTCCAAAAGAAAGTACGAATTTAAAATACATTTAACTCTTTTTCAAGCAGTAATTCGCCGGAACATGATACATGAGAGAAGGCTTATTAAAAACGAACCACATGCATTGAAAGTTTGATTAGTTGTCCGTGACTTATCCGGGGGAAAAAACAACATCATCATGGTGCGATTGGTGCTCAGAAACCCTTTATTCGTCCTTTAACTGGTTGTAGCTTTTCTTTCAAAGTGTAATGGCGTTGTTAAACAGAGGCACATGGTTCAAAGACACTTTAGTGTAGGGGGGGGGGGGGGGGGTAGACCTTTTATTGGACTTGGCAGTCAGAGTCAGAAACAGAGACAGACACCTGCTTCAGGACAAATGTCCACGCGGACGCACAGCGCGTGACTTTGAGCTGCAGCTCGGTATGTAATCCGCTTAAATTTAAGGTAAGCCTCCATCACTCTGCTTTCAGGTATTCAGGCTATACAAAAAACAGCTCTTTTTTATATGTATCTCTTTATCCGCCTTTATTTGAAATCAGGCCTTTATTTTGTAGGCCTGCATTCACATTTTAGCACCGTTGACCTGCACCAAAACATTGCATTGCATGGCACAAAATCGTAGAACAGTTTGACTTGTGCACCTCAAATGGAGAAAAACACATTTTGCACTTTTATTATATTATTAGGAGATTGACTCTAACAGGGTTAAAGGAGGAAAATAACCCGTAATATGTAGGCCTATACGTTATAAGCCTGATTTTCGATTTAGGCCTATTTACATAATTGGATGTATTTATTTGTACAGGAGAGCGTATAGTTATATGGTTAATGGATGTTAATGAGATGATTCGTGTAATTTTAAAGTATATGTATTTCTGCTGCTGTGAAATAAGAATGTCCTCACAAGTACTATTTAATAACAATATTATACTATTTTATTTTGACTTTTTTATTTATTGGTCAGAGATGTCATCAGGCGTGCTTCAGGCCTCCATGATATTTCAAAACGTCTCTGCTGGAAAAAAAATCTAAATTCGTCTTGTTTATGAGTTTGGATCCAATGCTTAAACGAAACTGGTTTTAATGGCAGCCAAGGTGATTTCACATTATGAGCTTCATTAATTAATGATGTTTGTATTAGATGCCGTTTTTCACCGTAGCGTTTCTTAAGCCCAGAGCTAACTGGCTATCTTTTTCTCAACATTATATGGCATTTACTCTCATTTCGGTAGGCCTATATTTATTTTTTCTTATGCAATAATCCAGGTTTTTTTTAACATTATAGCAACAGCGATGTGCTCCATTGACAAACTGAGTATAACATAAGAAATGCAGGTGTAAAAGTGGCAACAGCAATAAGAGTGAAATCGGGGATAATATATAAAACACGTTAAGTAACAGTGTAAATTACAAAATCAACAACAGAAAGAGGTAAAACTGTATACACATAATATGGCCATAATGCACATTTTAGGGCCACATCTGGTTTGTTCATTGAGCAATACGTGTCCTAATGTTATACAGAAGATGACACATGGTTGCAACAGAGGCACAAGTCATCCAAACACCAGAAACAAAAGCACCTAGCCAATAATCTGTTGGTGTACAGAGTGCATATCAATTACCTCCTCTATGAGAGAAACATCTGTGAACATCTGTGCAAGAGAAACTCCATTTGTGTCCAATAACAGTGCTCAAGTGCAGCCCACCTGCAGAGGAAAATACATATGAAAAATAAACTTCAAATGTTATTTTACACAGGTGAAACAATGGCTTTGTCCGTAAGTCTTCCAGTAAATCATGGCAGTGTGATAGCAACAGCAGGACACTAAACATACTATTTAGCCACCATTTTGATTTTTACACCTGAGCTTTTTGTTACAGGGCAAAAATGTTTTTAGAATAAAAAAGCCCGGCTATTCAGCAGAGAATCTCTAGTTACTTGTACTGGCATGCAAAACTAACACATGCAGACATTTTGCATATTATTTCATGATGTATATATTTTAGAAAGCCATTGCAGGCCATGATTTAGATTTGTTCAATACTCTGGCCATTTTCGTCCGAGTGTAAGGTGCCATATTGTCTTCTTTCTGCAGTTAGGAACCTGAGCTGATTCACAGGCTATAAAATCAGCTCCCCGACAGAAAGCACAAAGCCTTTCTTAATAGTATATTTAATTTAGATGTTGCTTAGTTGGTCTGTTATCTGGTTATTTTTGAGAAGTGAAGGTGTTTCTCTGTTGCCCCAGTTGTTGTTTCCAACTCCAATTATTCTGAACGATTTCAATTGCTAAAATATTACATTGTGGTGCCATCTAATGGTCTTAACTTAATGGGTGCTTTAAAGAAAAGTTAGTCCCAACTAAACCTCCACAAATGCTAAAAAGCTGTGAGGTTTAAATTCCTG